GACACAGAGAAAGAGGCAGAGCCACCCGGGCTTTTCTATAGATATATTCTGTTATAGGAAACCTGGGTGGCTCAGCGGTTTGGCGCCGCCTTTGGCCCGGGGCGTGATCCTAGAGACCCGGGATCGAGTCCCACGATGGGCTCCCTGCATGGAGCCTGCTTCTCCCTCTGCCTGTGTCTCTGCCTCTCTCTCTCTCTCTCTCTGTCAATAAATAATTTATGTATTCATGTCTCTCATGAATAAATAAATAAAATCTTAAAAACAAGATATTCTGTTATAGTATGTACTACATTTTCTTTATCCATTCATGTATCATTGGATATTTGGGTTGCTTCCATATCTTGGCTTTTGTAAATGATGCTGCAGTAAACATAGGAGTACGTATATCTTTTTGAATTAGTGTTTTAATTCTTTTGAGGAACATCCACCACTGTTTTCCACAGTGGCTGAACCAACTTACATTCCCAACAACTGTGCAGGAGGGTTCCTTTTTCTCCACATTTTCAACAACGCTTGTTATTTCTCAACTTTTTGATTTTAGCCATTATGACTGGTGCAAGGTGATATCTCATTGTGGTTTTGATTTGCATTTCTCTGATGATTAGTGATGTTAAGCATCTTTTCATGTGTCTGTTGATCATCTGAATGTCTTTGGAAAAATGTCTACTTCTGCCTATTTTTTAATCACATTATTTGTTTTTTTTTTTTGGTATTGAGTTGTCTTCATATATTTTGGATATTAATGCCTTATCAGATATATCATTTGTAAGTATCTTCCCCCATTCAGTAGTTTGCCTTTTTGTTTTATTGATGGTTTCCTTTGCTGTACAAAAGCTTTTTATTTTGGTGTATTTCAAATAGTTTAATTCTACTTCTGTTTCCCTTACCTGAGGAGGCATATTCATAAATATGTTGCTGAGGTCCAATGTCCAAGGAATTACTGCCTATGTCTTCTTTTAGGAGTATTAATCCTTCTCACATTTTTTCTTTTAAAGATTTTATATATTTGCTCATGAGAGAGACAGAGAGAGAGAGAGAGGCTCAGAAAGGCAGAGGGAGAAGCAGGCTCCATGCAGGGAGCCTGATGTGGGACTCGATCCCGGGTCTCCAGGATCGCACCCTGGGCCAACGGCAGGCACTAAACCACTGAGCCACCCAGGGATCCCTTGGAGTCCATTTAGATTGTACTGTGTGATGATGGGTTATGGTTGGGGTTTTGCCTAAATTTTAGCTTGTGTCTGTTAAATATGTTGCCCTATCTTAAAAATGAGTTTGAAGGAGACCTTGAGGGGAATGTGGGGTTTTAAAAACTTCCTGGATACTTAAAATGTCATCCCATTAGGGGATAATTTTCTCCTTGTATGGGAGGTGCTTCTGCTTCTGAAATTGGAAATTGGTCTGTGGAATTCCTCAGGTACAGTTTTTTAGGATTTTGATATTGTTTTGAGCGGGTTGGGATGTGGGGAGGAAATTGAGGTGAAAGGTGCCATAAAGCCAGATTGGTTTCTGGGGTCATTTAGGGACCGTGGATAAGGAAGCATTTAGTCCATGCTATTTTAAAAAAAACATTTTTTTTTCTTTTTCACATCTTGGAAGCTGGGGGTTTCACCCTTTTAGAAGCTGACCTCAGTGAAGGCCAAAGTGGAGGGTCAGTAAATATGCTACTGGCTCCCCCAACTCCAGAGTGAGAGTCTTCTCCTTTTCCTTGGTTTTTATATTTTCTTTTCCATCATCTCCTTATGCTACAGAACCTCTGCAAGCTGTCTGACCTTACCAGGATAGTGACCTATACTCCTTTCTTCCCCTTTTCTGTTTGATGTTCTTGTGACTTTTATTCTTGGCAAATAAGGATGCCAGACTTGACACAAGTTACGCTGAGTGATGGTTTTTACCTCCCCTGCTTTTTCTCTCTCCTTCTTTCATTCTTATTTTAATTTTTTTAAAATTTTTTTATTTATTTATGATAGTCACAGAGAGAGAGAGAGAGAGGCAGAGACACAGGCAGAGGGAGAAGCAGGCTCCATGCTCCGGGAGCCCGATGTGGGATTCGATCCCGGGTCTCCAGGATCGCGCCCTGGGCCAAAGGCAGGTGCCAAACCGCTGTGCCACCCAGGGATCCCCTCTTATTTTAATTTAAAGGCAGCCCATGGATTGTTAACTTAACACGGTCTGGGCAAACATGGAATTATGCAATCCCCAGGTGAGCAGGCCTGCCTGCTTCTCCTGTGTTCCGAGATAACCATTTGGGCTGGGAGTATGGGTTGGTGTGGTGAAAGGAAGGTGAGGTATGTGGGAGGGGGACCAAGAGAGCACTGTGCCTCTTGTCTTTGGGCTGGGGACAGTGGCCAGGGAGGCCCCCACACAGGAGAGTTTCCAGGTGTGCTCCACACCAGACTTTAACGTCTAAGAATTGTTTGGGATTACTGGGGTGTGTTCCTGGTTTGTGTTTTAGACTACCCGTTTATTGTGTTGTACCAGGAACAGATTGTACCACTGACTGCTGTTTATACACTGAAGTGGGGTCGGTGGATCTGACTCATAACCCGGGATCTTCAGGGAGGAAATTATCAAGATAAGGGCACTAGCATTTTGGGGGCACCTGCTTCTACGCTACTTAGGATTCAGAGTTCTTAAATGAACCTCTCCTGCTCACAGGCGCTTTATGTTCTCAAGAATTTCTTTTTCCCTTGTAAGGGCATTTAAAAAGTACATCTAGAGACCAGTCCTAGGCTGATATGAGGCTGATTAGGGAGAACCAAAGGAGGGCCTGGGGCTGAAAACCAAGAAATCAAAATAGTCCCAGCTGTATTGGTTTGACATCTGTGTCCCTGGCCAACCCCAGCTGAAGTCTTTGGATTTGAGGAAGAGGAATAAAAATCAAGAAGAGAAAAAGCAGTCAGGGGAGAATGTTCTTTGAAAACAAAGACATATCTGCTAACTTTTAATAAATGTACTCATTGCTCTTTAATCAGGAGGGTGAAAATAGAACCAAAGTGATTATCTTCCTTCAAGTATCTCTTGGTGGAACAAATGTTACTTAAGATAGAACCACAATTATAATTGTGCCTGTCAGCAGTTGGTGGAGGCAAACCGATTAATAAATAAAATTTCACAGTTGGTGAGAGAGGAAGGCAAAATGGTATTCTCTGTGTTAGTTTTTAGAACTTGGTGGATAAACAGCAAAATGCTTTCAAGACAATGTTATATGTATTTATTGATTTTGTCAACACTCATTATCCAGTTTAGGGAGACAATTTAATTCATTGGGATTTTTTTTGCTGGTCTTGGGACATCCCCACCCTTCACACTCAAAAATATTATTGAAGACCCCAAAGAGCTTTTGTTTAGGTGGGTGATATCTATCAATAGTTACTGTAACAGAAATTAAAATGAGAAATTTAAAAATATATTAATTCACTTAAAATAACAATAATTAAACCCATTAATGTCAACATAAATTACATATTTTTAATAAATTATAACTATTCTCAAAATTAGAAGAAGACTGATACTGTTTTACATTTTTATAAACCCCTTTACTACCTGGCTTCACAGAAATATAACTGAATTCTCATATCTGCTTCTACATTTAATCTGATGCAATAAAATTTTTTGGTTGAAGTGTATGAAGAGAATCGGGCCTCACATAGATGTGTAATTGGAAAAGGGAGAAGTATTTTAATATCCTTTTCAGATAATTGTGGATACACATCTTTGTTATATAATACCAAACTCAAGTAATGGCTTCTAAAAGGTGATTTGCAGTATGGAATTTGAAACCGTATCAGTGAACTTTTCATTTTCAGCTACATTAAAATCTGTTGGTTCATTTTGTATTTGAATGGTTCTTTTATCCGTGCATGATTTTGTAACATTTAGCATTGATTATTGAAAAAATATCACTTCATTGGGTTATACAGGTCTTCCTAGTGTTGACACATTTCATCTTACATTGCTGAAAAAAACACATTTATTAATATCACTCATCAGAAAAGTCTTTATGGATCAGGATGCTATCAAGCTTACCATGACAGACGTTTTCCAAAATTCTTTATTTTTACTTGAAAGCCTGAATTTAATCATTGATAACAGAATACAGTCAGTTGTTGTCCTTGAAGAGACAGGCTTACTTTGTTTATGTTCAAGGTAATGTCTGCCCCATACCCAAGTCTGAATAACCATATTTGTCTGTAAATCGCTATTTCAAGTAAAAAACATTTCCATTAAAAAAGAAAAGCTAATTCGGTTCACATTTCAAACAATTGCACAAGAGCTTTTTCTCAAGATATACATAAATATGCAGCAGAAGTGATTTGTGTGTACTTTCCATTTCATTACACAAAATAATAAAAAGATGTACTCACAAGGGCACCTGGCTGGCTCAGTCAGTAGAGCAGGCAACATGATCTCAGAGTCGTGAATGGAGCCTATTAAAAAAACAAAAACAAACACAAACAAACAAAGATGTACTCAGGGATCATGATTTGGTTAAGATTAGTTAATTTTTACTGTTTTATTGAGAGAATTCATAGGTAAATTTATATTTATATAAATCAATTTATATTATTGAGGGAATTCATAGGTAAAACTAGTCAGTATTGTTTTTTCCACTGAGAGTGATGAAGAAAATCATTCCCATGGGTTCAGTTTGGTGTTACTGCCCTGATTCCTGCTGCAGTGCCTGCACTCTTACCCACCATGCTTTTGTACCAGCAGTGCACGTATCAATACAGCAGAAAAGACAAGAAACATCTTGGTATTATTAGGAAAAGAGTTTAACTCCATGAACCTCCTGGGAAAGTCTCAAGGACACAAGGAGGGGGGGGTCTATGGATCACACTTTGAGAAGCACCACTTTGTTGTTATTATAATCTCTGCAGGGTCATTTGGAAGTATTTTAACTAAGCAAATGTAAAATTAGACTGGGGAGAGCAATGATTAGATCTGCTTTTGGCTTGAACTTAATGTCATAGCCTATACTGCACCCAACATCACAGAGCATGTTATTGTGCACCTCACAGTATCCGCAGGAAAAAACCCACGGACCAAAGGTGCCCGCAGAGCTGCGAGTCAACATCTGGCTGGGCTTAAGTGCTGTTGAGAAGAAATTCAATAGCTTCGCAGAAGGAACATTCACCGTCTTTGCTGAAATGGTACATTCAATGACATCACTATCATTTCCTCTTTGGGGGGAGTCCTGTTACTTGTCATCCTTAGAGAAAACATTCATCCATGTGCTAATATTAGACCTCAGTTCTCTGCAGAATCCCCCACCACTCACATCCCCCACCAACTTTCTGGTGGTCTCTGAGGTACTTCACATGTGCTAACAGTCTTGCCCATCTCCATGCCTAGATTTTACTATAGGCATGCTGGCTACCAAGTAGAAGTAGTGGGAACACCCTGCTTCTCCATTCTGTGTCCTTGTCACTTAGAAACCAAAGGAGCTGTGCACACACCCCCAGGTCTCAAAGCCCCTTGTGATAATAGCTTCTTTAGCTGCTTCCTGGAGTTTATCTCCTTTCAAGGCTCAGAAACTATATCTGAGACAGGTAATGTTGTGGCTGCTTAAACCCAATTTCCCCATCAAGCCTCTACTCAAACTTCTTCTTTCCTTCTTCAGCCTCAAACCCCCCTGTCAGGTGCAAATCATCTTTTCAGTGGCTCATCAGCAGAAAAATGGAAATTTCAGCTTGCACCCAAACAAGGACACTCACTGGCAGATCTCAAGCCTTTTAGTGGTTGACATCGTGAAGAGCAAACCATTGTAGATTTATAACTACTAACTTAGACAGAAATGCCCTATAAACAGGAGTCTGTTTTTGCCACTAAAGCTGTTTCTAGAAAGGGTTTGGTCTTCATCCCCACTACATTCGAAGGGATGAAGGCACAGAACTTTTAGGCACCATAAAGATTGGACCTTTAAAGGACCTTCATAATGTCAGACAGATTCTTTGTAGACTGCCTGCAAAAGGTACCATCGGTTATAATGTTGATTCTGTGGGGAAATGCGCCCCAAGTTTTAGGCAGTAGACTTTACAAATAAGCTCTTAGAAGCCTATACACTCATAAAATGAGGACTTTATGTGTATTTAAAAAATTAGGTTTGGAGAACCTTTTGGAGCCATTCAATATAATAATGGAAGCAACTAGTGTGCTATACCACTGTTTACAAAGCACTTTTGATTGCACATTTGGACAATTTATGAGGACCGGTGGTATTATCCCCAATTAATAAATGGGAATACTGAGTCTTAAAAAGAAGAGTGAGGTACCCAAGGTTGCATAATCAGTAGCAGCCCAAGTTAGGTCCATACCTTAAGTTTTTTCACTTTCTATCATGGTTTAGCTTAAATGGGCTTAAAAATTTATGAGTGGGCTTTATTTCTTGCTCTTTGATGTGTTTTCTCTAATCGTTTTTAACAGTATGAAAATCAAGCTCTTATGTTTGGAAAATGGGGCACTTCTGGATTAGTGGGTCATCATAAATTTTCTGATGTCATAGGAAAAATAAAACTCAAGAGGGAATTCTTTTTGCCTCCGAAAGGCTGGGAATGGGAAGGAGAGTGGATAGTTGATCCTGAAAGAAGGTAAGCCCTTCCATTTTTCTGAGAAAAAACGGTGACAATGAAACCTTTCCCTAGATATTGCTAAATAAATCTTTTCTATCATTATTCTTGGTAATACTTACGCAATACCCACTGAGCAAACTCCATAGAAATTTCAAATAGGTCATTGGTGCCCCATAATAAAACAAAGAAATAAAAAGCACCTGGTACTAACATTCATTGAGAACTTATAGGTGAATGTATCAAGCAGTGAGCTAAGCACCAGGGTGTTAATTACTTTATTGAATCTGGCCTATATCCCTATAAGGTAGCTAGTGTCAAAAATTATGAAGGATCTGAGATGTTTAGCTTACTTGGTAGCTAACAAGGTCACCTGCCATATTTCATGGATGCTGGCAAGAGACAAGAGACACAGGACTCCTGGGTCAGAGACAAGGGACTTCACTGCCAACAGCAATAGCAGTGCCAGTATTAACATTTGCTTTAGTTATCTGAGCTCCAATTCCCACAGGGAGACAAGAAGATGGTCAGATGACACTTAAACACGAAGTGGTTGTGTAATAGGAGAGGAACTTAAGCTTAGGGAATCCAAATCTTTTTAATGAGTAGCAAGCATGCTGGCCCTTTGCTCAAGAGAGAGAGAGAGAGAGAGAGAGAGAGAGAGAGAGAGAGAGAGACTATCTCTGTCTTCCAAGATTATTCCTCATATAGGTATCCTTGATGCTGTGGAAACATAAGAACTCATAGAGAATTACCTCCCAACAAATAATAGCATGATCTCCACTGTACAGTTGAGGAAAGTAAGACCTACAGAGATTAAGTAACTTGTCCAAAGACACATAGGTTGTAGGTGGTACCAGTCCAGACTTAACTATTAGGCTGGAATGTCTGTAAGAAACAGTTGAGAGTACACTTTAAATGGGTGAATTGTGTGGTATGAACAGTGTGTCTCAAAAGCTTGTTATTAAAAAGAAAGGAACAGTAAAGGGGAGGCAAGGATGTGTCCCCTGGAGTTAGGGTTTCTGAATGTTGCCAACAGCATCAGAGTCAGAGCTCCCTCTTCTCTGCCTCTTGACAGCAAACTTGAGTTTGGAGGAAACAAGCTTGGTAAAGTTGGAATTCAAGGCCTTAAACTAGAGTTTTTCCTCTCTGTCCACATTTGTTTCCTGTGATCACAGGCATTAGAGAAGGAGGGGAATGAGTGAGCTGGGTCTGGTCTGTTCTGGTCTGGTAAGACCCAACGATTGCACATGATTGCTTGTAACCCATGACAGCTTGCTTTGGATAGAGTTGGGGTTGCTGGTGGGGACAAGGGAAATGGGATTTGAATTGGACAGAAGGAAGAAAGGGTAATGAGAACAGGGAAAGGTGGAGGCATTGGAAAAGCGGAAGGTCAAACCATGTCAAGGCTCTACGGGACCCCAGAGGCAGCAGCCGGGTCTTCTGTTCTCCTTCTCTGGGACCCAGAGAATGATGGGATGAGCTTAATTTATACAAATAGTTGGGGCTACTTCTATTCTGATTTCTTTTTTTTAAAGGTTTTATTTATTTATTCATAGAGACACAGAGGGAGAGAGAGGCAGAGACACAGGCAGAGGGAGAAGCAGGCACCATGCATAGAGCCTGACGTGGGACTAGATCCAGGGTCTCCAGGATCACGCCCTGGGCTGCAGGCAGCGCTAAACCCCTGCGCCACCAGAGCTGCCTTCTATTCTGATTTCTTTCCAGTGCTCGATTCTAGGGGAGGATTGGGCAGGGAAAAGATGTAGGGACGGTAAAAGAAAAAGACACCTCACTTGAGTGGGTACCTGGCAGGAGACTTAAGTCAAAGTTGGAGCCTCTATACTTTCCTTTATGGGCTGTCAAAATAGTACCAAATCCAAGAGGAAAATTGGCATGGCAGAGAGTTATATGGGTTTCTTAAGTACCTAAATGAAGTCTGGAGTCTTAAATGACCTGGTTCGGCTGTCAACCTAGGAAACTATCCAGAAAATTTAAACTCCTCCCTTCAGTTTGTGTTACGTAGACCATGCAAGCCATGAGTAAAAATTTCCATACTTGGCCTCAAGAGACTATTTCCACGCCATTTTTTTTTAAGTAGGGGGAATAAGGGTGGACAATATCCTATTCTTTTGAACTGTTAGTCAGGAGTTTTGCTGACCGGCCCTGAACTGAAACAAAAATATGGAACATGAGATCTGTATAAGGAGCTGCCCACAAGACTGTTTTCCCAGTCCCCACCCTGATGACTGAGAAGGAGCAGCCCTGCTAACTTGAGGAGTCCTCTGTGATTCCAATCTCATTGTTCCCACAGGCCCCTTCTCCAAAAGAATGTCAGAAGTTATTAGCAGGAAGAGGAGTTTGGTGGAGAACCCCAGGGCTAGAGTAAGGAGGGAGCCGGTGTAGATGTTTCCCGGACCCTGGGCCCTGGGCCTCTGGGGTTGCTGGCTACCATTGCTCCTTTGGTAACTCAAGCCTCGCCCACAGCTTGCTGACCAAGGCAGACGCGGGGCACATGGAGTTCACGGACGAAGTGTACCAGAATGAGAGCCGCTACCCCGGGGGTGACTGGAAGCCAGCTGAGGACACCTATACCGATGCGGTGAGGGGGCTGCTCCCCACACGGAACCTCCAGCCCTAGCTCTTTGGAACTGTGGTCTGTGAATCCACCAGCCACAAGGCGTGGCCTCCCCTTCTCTTCTGCTCTGTCTTGTGTTCTGAGTAGCCACACAAATGCACCTCTAAATATTTTCTATAGAAAAGACATTGGACCTGTTTAACTGGATGTTGGTATATGGTAAAGTTTGAGTTGTGCAATTTTTTATTGTAAATATTTATTACTTAACTAGTTTTTTTAAATCACAAGAAATAAAATGGACATGTCTCTAAAATGTCCCAAGAGCATAAAAGGAAATGAAAAGTAAGTCTTCTCCCAGATTTACATTCCACCCCTCAGTGATAACCACTGAAAGTATGTTTCTGCTCACACGCAAATGTAAAACTGCTCTCCCATGCCAAAACACACCTAAATAGAATTATGTTGTATGCACAGTTCAATAATTTGTGTTTTTCATACAACAAAATATCTTGGGCATCCTTTTATATCAATATGTATAGGTCTATGAGCTTTGTAAAAAATGCCCACAAGTGTCTTATTATGTGCACCTTGTATAATATATTTAAATATCCTCTCCTTGTGGACATTTTTATTTTTTTTCCAGTCTTTGGTTTTTTCAAGCAATGCAGCAGTAACCATCCTTATATATACATTTTTATTCACTTGTGGAAGTTTATCTCCAAGAAAGATTCCCTGGATGAGTTTGGTCAGATTTCAGTGCATATGCAGTTTTGATAAATATTGCCAAACTGCTTTCAAATAGGTTGTATGAATTTTTATTTCCAGCAGCAGCATATTAGAGGGCTGTTTTCCTAAACACTCATTACCTCCACTACACCAGCTTTGTCTGAGCTTGAATCAGTGGTGCCCTGAAGTCTTTTCCATTTTCCAACTCTTAATTTAAAGTGAGGCTGTGGGGCATCTGGGTGGCTCAGTCAGTAAAGCATCTGACTCTTGGTTTCAGCTCAGGTTGTGATCCTAGGTCATGATCTCAGGGTCATGAGATTGAGCCTCGAGTCAGGCTCAGTGCTGGGCATAGAGCCTGCTTAAGATTCTCTCTCTCCCTCTCCTTCTGCCCCTCTCCACCACCAAATAAATAAATAAATAAATAATCTTAAAAAAATAAATTTAAAAAATAAAATGAGGCTGAGCATTTTTCCATATGTTTATGGACCACCTTTTTATGTTCTTAGGAACTTTTTCTCCTGTCAGTTTTCATGCAGTCAATACTTTAGTCAGTAGGGAACCTAAACCTTGCTCAAATGTTACATGATTAACATCTAGAACCTCCAGTGATATTACCTTGTACTTGAAAACATGTGTTTTTCATGCTTTATCCATCTCTGATGGTTCCCTTCCAATATAACTCCTTATAGAGTCACGCCATTTCATAATATTAAATTGAACCATATGAAATTGCTGATATTTGGCCATTTTTGATCTACTACAACAATTTTCCATGGTTCAACCCAACATACCCCTAACAGAAGGTATTCTAAAAAACTAATCTTGTGTAGCGATTGTGAATAAATTGAGATTAGAGATTCCTAAATTAGCATTCGAGTGCTATTGTTAAGTGTGAGTCATACTCTCACCTTTGCATTTTATCTGACACCCTGGCTCACTTCTCTTCTTCTTTTTTTTTCTTTTTAAAGAATGGTGATAAAGCAGCATCACCTAGCGAGCTGACATGCCCTCCAGGATGGGAATGGGAAGATGACGCATGGGTATACGATATAAATCATGCAGTGGATGAGAAAGGTAACATTTTAGATCTATTACCTGATGGGCTCTCTGTAGCAAGGCCCTGGTTAACCCCAGAGTAAAGTTTCCTTGGTTGTGGGGCGGTGGGGAGCAGTCCTACTTCTGTCAGTCTGTGACAGTCAGGTCTTGGATATTACCTGTCATTATTCAGAAGCAGAATCTGAAAGACAAAGAAGTGCTTGAACAGGTGCAGGTAGGGGCGTCATGAGTGAACACTACAAGATCACAGTGGGCCTTGTTGAGATGTTGGGGATCCAGGATGAGAATATGGGAGGGAACTGGCATTTGGATATTCTTCTCTATTCTAGTCGCACCCCATAGGCTCCCTGGGAACATTACACTCAGGAAGAAGGAGTGTAAAATTCCTTAATAGTCATCCTGTTCAGCAATAATACAGATTGTTTTGGGGTTTTTGGAAGTCTAGTTAGCACACAATAACGTAGATTATTAACATAGCTTCTGTTACTGGTGTTTATCCTTTTCTATGAACAGTAACCTGAAGTTAAGTGAACTATAATATTTGGAAATATCAAAAGAGAAAATGTGATTTTTTTCCCTTATAAGAGAAAGAACAAGTATGGATAGAGAAGGGTTCAAATTGATTATAAGTTCTTTGCTGATGGTATCCCTGGGTGGCACAGCGGTTTGGCGCCTGCCTTTGGCCTAGGGCGCGATCCTGGAGATCCAGGATCGAATCCCACGTCGGGCTCCCGGTCCAGGGAGCCTGCTTCTCCCTCTGCCTATGTCTCTGCCTCTTTCTCTTTCTCTTTCTCTCTCTGTAAATAAATAAAAATTAAAAAAAAAGTTCTTTGCTGATCTTGACACACACACCAAGCCTTATAATCATAGCATTGATTGAGCACAAACTATGTGCTAAGCATAGTCCTCATCATTTGCAGGCATTATTTCGGTGAATTCTTTTTAAGGAGGTATACTTTACCTTTATGCTGGGGAAATCCGGCCATAGGCAGGTTTTTTACTAACCTGCAAAAAACTTACATAGTAAATAGCCAGCGTGCAGGGATGCTGGGATTTAAACCCTGCTGTGTAACTACACAGGCCACACCCTTCAACACTGTCCCTGATGGCCTCTTGCACTGTGCTTTATTCTTAGATGCACATAATTACCTTGAGTGACTGGAGGGATAAAAGGGGAGGAGAACCCCGGGGCAGCAAAGGAAGCTCTTTGAAGAGAGCTGTATTCAGTTTGGTTGAATTGCAGCAAACTGAAAGGAGCAACAATGGCATTTAATGCCACAGTAGAGCATGTTGGGGGAGCAGAGACAGTGACTGGATGTTTTCTGGAAGTTTATCTGGCAGTCTGGCAAATGCATCTTTTTGGGATAACCATTTGCAAACTCTGTTCCAGGCTGGGAGTATAGAATTACCATTCCTCCTGATACTAAACCCAAATCTTTGGTTGCAGCAGAGAAAATGTATCATACTCATAGACGACGAAGGCTAGTCCGAAAACGCAAGAAGGATTTAACACAAAGCACTGCAAGCATTGCAAGGGTAAGAGTTACCACGGGAGGGAGCTAGGCTGGGGGCCATATAGAATTCCTGTTATTTGGCTATTTCTACAGAAACTGTTTGCCAATCAAGGGCCTAATGCCCTCCCTGCACAGGGGTTCTCAAAATGCACTTGCTACCCCAACCAGCAACAACACATTACCTGGGAATTTGTTAGAAATGCCTCACTCCAAACCTACTGACTTAAAAATTACAGGGGTGAGGTCCAGCAATCTGTGTTTCACAGTGTCTTCTAAGTGATCTGAAGTAGGTTAAATGATAAGAAACACTACCCAGTAGTAATAGAAATTATTTTGCATAATGAAGTAGTGGCAATAAATAGTTCAGTACTTAGAATAAGAAACACAAGGACTCAGGGGAGCCTGAGTGGCTCAGTGGGTTAAGCATCTGCCTTAGGCTCAGATCATGATCTCAGGGTCCTGGGATCGAGCCCTGTGGCGGGCTCCCTGCTCAGCGGGGAGCCTGCTTCTCCATCTCCCTCCGCTTCTCACACCTGCTCCTGCACACTCTCTCTGGCAATGTCTCCTTCTGTATCAGTTGCCTAGGTATCTCTCCATATACCCACAGTCCATCGGCCCCACAGGGGCCAACAGCTTTGTTCTTTGCTGTATCACTGGCTCATAGCACAGTGCTTGGAACAGAGGAGATATTTGTTGATGGACCAAATAATCTACCTTATCCATTAAGGGATGTTATTATTGTTGTTATGATGATGATGTTAGCATTCACCTTAAAAGTTTTACTTCTGTTTTAGGCCATGGAAGAATTGGAAGACCGGGAGGGCTGGGAATATGCTTCTTTAATTGGCTGGAAATTTCACTGGAAACAGCGTAGCTCAGATACCTTCCGCCGTAGACGCTGGAGAAGGAAAATGGCTCCTTCAGAAACACACGGTGCGGCCGCCATCTTTAAACTGGAGGGCGCCCTCGTAAGTAACAGGTCCTCAAAGCTCAGATACTATTGGTTGAGGGGGCGCCTCGGTGGCCCAGTGGTTGAGCGTCTGCCTTTGGCTCAGGTCTGGGGCCCTGGGATTGAGTCTCACATCAGGCTCCCTGCTCATCGGGGAGTCTGCTTCTCCCTCTCCCTCTGCCCCCGCACCCTGCTGGTGCTCTCTCTCTCTCTCACTTGAGCTTGCTCTTTCTCTCAAATAAATAACTAAAATATTTTAAAAATCTATATTGGTATAGGGAAATAGATGAGTGTTGTATACACTACTGACTCCACAGAGATTCCTCTAGTGCTGCAGAACTGCAGATAATTTGAGAAAAAACTACACATCCTGGGTGCTCAGTAAGTCTTGTTGCCTGAATACACCATGAATAGAGGAAAGGTTCTAAGAAGTTCTACCGCAGACGCGCCTATTTAATGTTATTTCACCCAGCATGTCCCACATATATCTGTTATAAAACCTCGTTGCAGGTGACATCTGTTATCATCCCAGGTGTGGGTTCCTTGGATTATACCTTGGAAACTACAACTGTTCCATAGACCAAGAAACTGTATTAAATATACAGATGTGAGGGGGAGAAAAACAGGAGGATGGCTCATGGAATTAGAGAATAATTCCAATGGAAGCACAATAAAGAAGGCAGGGAGGGGGAAAGCACAAAGGTGGGAGGGATGAATACGAAAATGGCACTGGTCCCTCTAAACCAACATGGTGATTGGGAGCCATTTCCTGGTTTTATACTTTTGCACACTGACCCTGCTGTGTTCTTCTGTTGCTTATTCTCATCCTCCTCCCACCCTTTTAATCCCTTTATTTATCTTTTATGGTTTCCCTTTTGAAAATTTTCAGCATCAGGGTTTGGTGAGCCTGGACTTGAGGCAGAAAGACTGGCTTCCACTTCTTACTCTGTCACTTTCCAGCTAAGTGACCTTGGGCAAGATACTTGCTGTTCTGGGCTTTATTCATTTTTAAAAATGGAGTGATTGGATGAGAAGAGTCTCTTTTAAAAGCCACCATTCCATTTCTTTGTAATTCTTGCCTCTCTGTTTTGAGGCATTGCTAATGAAGTTTTCTGCCTTTTTAGGGTGCAGACATGACCGAGGACGGAGACGAGAAGAGTGTGGACAAGCAGAAGTATAGTGCCACCACTGTATTTGGGGCAAACACTCCCATTGTTTCCTGTAACTTTGACAGTAAGTTTTAAACATGGATTTGTGCACTCCCCTGCAATGACTTATTTATCTAAGGCCAATTCTCTGAATCACCAAATATGATTAAAATGTCTTTAGGCAAATGTAAATTTTATTTTCATCATTTGATGAGGATTTTTTCAGATACAGTTTTAAAAATCATATTTGGGGTGGGGAGGTCATCAAATCATTGACTCTGATATGGTCTGTCCAATATGTGCTCATTCTATATGAAGCTCCCGAAAGATTGTTTTAATTAGAAAAAGAGGTTCAGGAAGTTAAGTAAGGGTCGGTTCTGATGATAATCTTTAGGAATTTTGGAATGAGGCAGACCTACTATGTAATAATAATAACAAATACTTATCTAGGGCTTATCACATGCCAGGCACTATGCATATATTAACTCATGTAATCCTCATAACCACCCTAGGACGTGGTGTTATTATTGTCCTCATCTTAGAGGTGCAGAAAGATGAAATAACTTGCTCCAGTCTTACAGTTTGTAAGCACTGTAGACAAGATTTTAAGTAGTCTGACTCTCAGAATCTGTGCATGAATCACAATGCTCTACTCTCTATCTCTCAGATTACATGTGTTGTTGGGATGGGAGCAGATATACATTAATATAAAGATGGGGGTATAAAAATTTTGAACTATCAAAATGACTTTTAAGTTATTTAACTTTGGACTATCAAAGAAACTTTTAGCAGATAACTGTTTCCTAGATCTGGGGCTGAAATAGTATAGGAAGCCCTATTTCTATAACTCATGGAAACCAAGTTTCATTTTAAAGGTCTGTGATGACAAGCAGTGGCCTAAATCCAGGTGTTTCACAACAGGACTGATGTTCTCCTGAGTGATACACTTGCACTGAGCTTATTGTAGTATTTTTAAAGTTAGTTTTATTTTATAGGAAGCAGAACTACTTTGGGAGCACATGTCATCACCACCTATGTGTTCTTTACTGTGGAGTAGATTTGAATGACCCATTTATCTCAAACATGTATTATCTCCAAATATGCCAGAAAATTTGCATTTTTCAGTGTTATGTTTCTTATAAGTAACCTCCATCCTCTTCTTTTTAGGAGTCTACATTTACCATCTGCGCTGCTATATCTATCAAGCCAGAAACCTCGTGGTTCTAGACAAGGATAGTTTTTCAGGTAAAGGGACAAAAATATCTGTCATACATGTTATTACATAGCAGGCCAGCTTGATTCTACTTTTCATCAGGTGGGTGCTTTTAGTAATTCCTCACAACAAAAAGTTTTTCCATATTGAGATGAGTTTGATTTGTGTGAAGTAAACTGCTCAGTCATTAAGTAATCACTGGATATGTTGAACACTATTGCTGGGTGCTGGAGATACACAGAAGATACATGGGCTTTGAATACTAATAATCATTAATTGATGAGTAATAAAAAAGCACCAAGAAGAAAAGCAATTTCTGCTCTCTGCTTGTACACACAGCTATATATATGGTGTGTGTGTATATACATATATATACACACACACACACCTCTCTATTTTATATATATATATATATATATATATATATATATATATATCTTATATATCATATATACACACATACATCCTGGGCTCTTGGGCTGATTGCTAAGTTACGATCCTTTATATAATTTTTTGGTAGCTCTCTCAAGTTGACAAAGGTTCAAAAATTCACCCATTTGCCTACAATCCTCAACAGGATTGAGGCAGTTTGGAGTCCATTTTGACCCTTCTGTGGCCTATCCCCATAAATCCATGAGATCATAAAGCCCTGAGACCCAGCTTGCTTTGTGGCCTTTGGACTGGTTCTAAGGGGAAGGCTGTGGTTAGGGCTGGGGGAAAGGTCAGGGGGCCTGCAGCTGAGGATTTGTGCTGTTGCTGATGGGATCATGAATGGTTCAGGGTCCATGTTGGCTACGTGGGGAGATTTCCACTTCAGGGCTTGAAGGCCAGCAGAGCTTTGATTGAAGCACTCTTAAAGCAGTTGCCTGACACTCAGGCATGCTCACATCAATTGTGAGGTATATTCCAAGCACTGATGTAACCAACATTTGTGCATGGTTTCCTTTTCTAATATATTAGAGCAGATTCAAAGTTATCCTTCTAAAATGCATCTCCAAAAGGGGTTTGAAGACATTTTTTCTGAATATTTACCACCAGGGGGCACTCGATCATTGAAAGTCAAAGTTAGAATCCTAATCCAAATTCTTGACTAGAGTTGCATAAAACTCAACACATGCCTTGCAGTTTGAGATAGAGGATATATGATCGGAGCAAAAACAAAGCGTCCCATTTGTGTGATGCCTCAGTGCTAAAACTGAAACAGCCTTTTGGATGATGCAACACTTTCAGGTTAGATATTAGGCTGTTGCTCAGAAGGGTCAGCTCCCAGGCAGTTGCAAAAGTTTTGGTGAAGTTATTTAGCATGGAAGAGAAACAGATTGCTTCTTTTTGCCTTATCTTTCTTCAGCTTATTGAGGTATACTTGACAAATAAGGTTTTACACTTAAAGTATAAGTAATGATTTGATATACAAATATGTTATGAAATGTTCCCAAAACTGCATTAATTAACACACCTGTCACCTCACGTAGTTCATTCCATGTGTGTGAGACAGAACATTCAAGTTCTCCTCTCCTAGCAAATTTCAGTTATACAATACACATTCTTAACTATAGTCCTCATGTTATACATCAGGTCCAGGCCTTATTCATCTTATAACCGAAATGTGTACCCCCCAACTAACCTCTCCCCATTTCAACCCATCTCCCAGCCCCTGGCAAACATCCTCCTCCTTTCTGTTTCTATTAGTTTGATTTTTGAGGAGGTGTGGGGGGACACCCACATAGAAGTGATACCTTGTAGTATTTGTCTTTCTCAGTCTGGTTTGTTTCACTTAGCATAATGCCCTCCAGGTTCATCTGTGTTGTCACAAATGACAGGATTCCCTTCTTTTTAAATGACTGAATTATATCTATGTATGGTATATACATAATACCACATTTTCTTTATTTATTCATCCATCAGTGGATACTGAAGTTTCTCCCATACCATGGCTATTGTGACTCACACTGCAATGAACATGGGAATACAGATAGCTCTTTGAGATAATTATTTCATTTGCTTTGAATAAGTACCCAGAAATGGGACTGGTGGATTATATGATAGCACTATTTTTTATTTCTTGGGGAACCTCCATACTGTTTTCTGCAGTGGCTGCCTCAGTCTACATTCACACCAGTAGGCACAAGCATCCCCTATTCTTCACATCCTCACCAACACTGACTGTCTCCTATCTTTTTGATGAGAGATATCCTACCAGGTGTGAGGGGATATCTCATTCTAGTTTTGATTTGCATTTCCCAGGTGATTAGTGACATTGAGCACCTTTTCATGTACCTTGTGGCCATTTGTATGTCTTCTTGAGAGAAACATCTCTTCAGGTCCTTTGCTCATTCTTAAATTGGGTTATTTGGGCCTTTTGGTATTTTGTATGAGTTCCTTGAGTATTTTAGATATTAACTCCTCATCAGATATGTGGTTTGCAAATATTTTCTCCCATCCCGTGGGTTTCCATTTTGTTGATCGTTTCCTTTGCTGTGCAGAAGCTTTTTTAGTTTGATGCAGTTCCATTTGTTTGCTTTTGCTTCTGTTGCCTTTGTTTTTGGTGTCAAATCCAAAAAAATCATTGCCAAGACTACTATCAAGAAGCTTGCCCCTTATATATTCTCCTAGGAGTCTTATGGCCTCGGGTCTTATGTTCATGTATTTAGCCTATTTCGAGTTGATTTCCTGTATGGTGTAAAACAGGGCTCCAGTTTCATTCTTCTGCATGTGGCTGTCCAGTTTACCAGCACCATTTATCAAAGAGACTATCCTTTCTTTACTGTGCATTCTTGGTGGCTTTATCCAAAATTAATTCTATCCTTTCTCCACTGTGTATTCTTGGTACTTATGTTGACGATTAATTGATCACATATGCATGCATTTATTTATGGGTTCTCTATTCTGTTCTGTTGGACCATGTGTCTGTTTTTATGCTAAGACCATACTGTTTTGATTACTATAGTTTTGTAATATAGTTTGAAACCAGCAAGTGTGATGCCTCAAGGTTTGTTCTTTCTCAATATTGCTCTGGCAGTCTATCTCTCAGGTGGTGGTGAGAGTCTGTGATCAGTGCAACTGGAGGTAGACCATGTGATTGAAATGAGTGCTCCTGGGGAGCTGGACTTCAGCCATGGCCTCACGGGTACTGTATTTTTCTGTTTTAGATCCATATGCACATGTCTCCTTCCTCCATCGAAGCAAAACCACTGAGATCATCCACTCGACCCTGAATCCCACATGGGACCAGACAATTATATTTGATGAAATCGAAATCTATGGGGAACCCCAGACAGTTCTACAGAACCCACCCAAAGTTATCATCGAACTTTTTGACAATGACCAAGTGGTAGATAATTTAGAATTTCTAAGATGGCTTGGGGAATGATGGAGGTTTAGAGGGATATTTGTTGGGGAATTTAAGGATTGCTTGTTTCTCTAGGGCAAAGATGAATTTTTAGGACAAAGCATGTGCTCTCCTCTGCTAAAACTAAACTCAGAAATGGATGTCACACCCAAACTTCTCTGGCACCCTGTAATGAATGGGGACAAAGCCTGTGGGGATGTCCTTGTAACTGCAGAGCTGAATCTAAGGCACAAGGTACTTGCTGAGTCCTCATGTATATGTTCTTTCCTGGTAGCTGTTAAAAAAACTTGCTAATAATAATAATAAAAAAAAACTTGCTAATAATGCGAGACACCATTTCCTAGAACTAAGGAGAAACGTTGATGTCTCCATGTTTGTTTTACAGGATGGTTCCAATCTTCCCATCCTTCCCTCACAAAGGGCACCAAATCTATACATGGTCCCACAAGGGATCAGGCCTGTGGTCCAACTCACTGCTATTGAGGTATGCAGCTCCCTAAGTTTTATTGATCAAGTCAGATGACATAGCTACAGAACTGTACTCTCTCACAGGAAATGGATCTTGCTACATATTCGCTTGCTGTCTCCAACAAGAGAATTTGTCCAAAACTTTGAAATATTCATGGAAACAGAAGGCTTGTTGAAAAAAAAAAAACAGGTCAATTCCAGCATTACTGAGGAAATCTCGAGTTCTTATTTACTAGGAGCTAGGAGACTGCTGGATTTCTCATGTCAACTGGAGAAAAGGAAGAGGGAAAGCAGACAGAGCAGTGTGCACATGTGTGTGTGTGTGCACGCATATGGGTGTGTGTGTGTGTGTGTGTGTGTGTGTATGTGTGTGTGCAGAGAGCAGGGGACCCAAAAGGGGGCCAAGGAGGGAAGAAGGATGGGAGCAACAGGAAATGGTGACATGGCAGACAGGCTGATGGAGCTAACTGGTAGCTTCATGGACAGCATCTGGTCCACTCTTAAGGTCTCCCCTGGTCCAGTCAAGTGGCTGTTACCTTGGGATTTCCCTTCTCAGGCTGTCTTAGTAACAGTTCACAAAGACCAAAGCAGACGGCTGAAAACAACAGCTTTCATTTTTGAATGCTTACATATCAGACACTGTGTTAAGGAGTTTACACTTGATCCTCAGAATGACCCTGTAAGTGGATAGTAGTGTTGGTCCTGCTTGCAGACAAGACCTAGAGAGAGTCCTAACTTGCCAGGGTTCACAGTCAGGATTCGATTCCTGCACTCTCCACTGCTCTGCCTTTTAGCATCTCAGGCAGAAGAAAAGGGGCAAAAGTGCTTTCTCTGCATGACCTACAGGCTTTCTAGGATAATAGTCCTGGAAATTTTAGGCAAATCTGCCTATAATCTGAAAAAGTGTGCCAGTTACTAAGGAAGAAATTTTTCCTTTTCAATATTATTTGTAACGTGCTGAGTTTTCCTCCTCTTTCTTTATATTGTTTTTCTTAGATTCTAGCTTGGGGCTTAAGAAATATGAAAAACTACCAGATGGCTTCTATCACCTCTCCCAGCCTCATTGTGGAGTGTGGAGGGGAAAGGGTAGAATCAGTGGTGATCAAAAACCTGAAGAAGACACCCAACTTCCCAAGTTCTGTTCTCTTCATGAAAGTGGTACAGTATCAAGACTGTAATAGTTCATGTGTGTTGAGTAGCTGAATTTTACACCAAATATGAATATATATAAAATATATAATATATATATATCACATCCCTTGATCACCCCCCGCCACACACACACACACACACACACACACACACACACACACACACGCACGACACATAGTAAATATATTTCCAAACTCTGACAGCAAATAGAAAAACCCTGCCTTGGCTTTAGCTTGCCAGTGACTTTCCTCCCTTAGATTCTCACACTATAGTAATGGTTTCTTGAAGCTTCACACATCCTAAGAATGCAGAAATATTTATGAGAAATGCTTAGGTATTTCTTGAATAAACTCTCCATCTGTTAGCTATCAGGTACAGACTTTTGGTCAATGCCCTGGAGGATAGAACTCTAACCCTCAGCCCTGCTCCTGAAGCTCTGCCATGGACTGGGACCTTCCAGATTGGGAACGCAAACTAGGGAAGGGGCAGCTGAGGAGGCCATTTGGGTGGTGGGGCCATGCCCTATCAGCCTGTGACTGTGCCCCACTTCCAGGAACCGTTTGAGGGCACCCACTTGGCTCCATGGAAGTCCTCCCCTGGTTGTTAAGAACAGGACAGCGTCAGATCTGGTTCACAATCCTCTGTCAGAGCCTTTAAGCTCATGCCCTTAAGCACTATGCTGCTTGCCTAGCACATAAATTCCTATAAACTACTTACAGTGAGTCCCCGGGGCTACACCAAATGGGCAAAATGAGTCTGGGTTGGTCCCTTGGGTGAGTTTATTGGCATGGCTTCGTACAGAGGAGTGATGCCTGCCCCTGTGACCCCTCAGTTCTTGCCCAAGGAGGAACTGTACATGCCTCCGCTGGTGATCAAGGTCATCGACCACAGGCAGTTCGGGCGGAAGCCCGTTGTTGGGCAGTGCACCATCGATCGTCTGGACCGCTTTCGTTGTGACCCTTATGCGGGAAAGGAGGGTCTTGTGCCCCAGCTAAAAGGTAAAATGCATGTCTCTAAATATCATTTTGGGCTTTTTGTGTGTGATCTGATTTAATCTTTACAAACTTCCTCAAGATAAAAATGCAGATGAGGAAACAGATTTACACTGGGCCACGTAACTTTCTCAAGCTAGTATAGTTAGTAAGTGGCAGAGCCAAATTTGGATTCCCACCTTGTCTTGAGGAGGATCCAATGCTCAAACTGTTACCTTCTGAAGTAACCTGTCCCTGGCTGAACATAAATAATGTCTCTTCAGGAAATGTTAAGTACTTCCTAAAGTTGTCATATTAAGTTAAGCCGAGAGGACAAACAAGAAAATGAGTGGTTCAGTCCAGTGTGATAAGGGTTTTGGTGCAGAAATACAGGGGTCCCCCCATGAGCACTGAGGCAGTGGGAGGATTTTTATTTCGTATTGCTTTCCATCTGTTGTCCTCATTAACACATCCCATTATTATGATGTAATTTTTTAAAAGATTGTATTTATTTATTTATTTATTCATTCATTCATTCATTCATTTGAGAGAGAGAACAAGCACAAGCAGAGGGAGCAGCAGGCAGAGGGAGAGTGAAGCAGACTCCCCGCTGAGCAGGGAGTCTGATGCGGGGCTCGATCCTAGGACCGTGAGATCATGTGAGCTGAAGGAATACACTTAACCGACTGAGCCACCCCTGGTGCCCCTATTGTGATGTTCTTTGAAAAATATTATTTCATTGTTGCTCATGGAGGAAAAACTGACACCTGCTGAGTTTTTCTTTTAATAAATTAATTTTTTATTGGTGTTCAATTTACCAACATACAGAATAACACCCAGTGCTCATCCCGTCAAGTGTCCCCCTCAGTGCCCGTCACCCATTCACCCCCACCCCCCGCCCTCCTCCCCCTCCACCACCCCTAGTTCATTTCCCAGAGTTAGAAGTCTTCATGCTCTGTCTCCCTTTCTGATATTTCCCACACATTTCTTCTCCCTTCCCTTATATTCCCTTTCACTATTATTCATATTCCCCAAATGAATGAGAACATACACTGTTTGTCCTTCTCCGATTGACTTACTTCACTCAGCATAATACCCTCCAGTAACCAACATTTGTGCATGGTTTCCTTTTCTAATATATTAGAGCAGATTCAAAGTTATCCTTCTAAAATGCATCTCCAAAAGGGGTTTGAAGACATTTTTTCTGAATATTTACCACCAGGGGGCACTCGATCATTGAAAGTCAAAGTTAGAATCCTAATCCAAATTCTTGACTAGAGTTGCATAAAACTCAACACATGCCTTGCAGTTTGAGATAGAGGATATATGATCGGAGCAAAAACAAAGCGTCCCATTTGTGTGATGCCTCAGTGCTAAAACTGAAACAGCCTTTTGGATGATGCAACACTTTCAGGTTAGATATTAGGCTGTTGCTCAGAAGGGTCAGCTCCCAGGCAGTTGCAAAAGTTTTGGTGAAGTTATTTAGCATGGAAGAGAAACAGATTGCTTCTTTTTGCCTTATCTTTCTTCAGCTTATTGAGGTATACTTGACAAATAAGGTTTTACACTTAAAGTATAAGTAATGATTTGATATACAAATATGTTATGAAATGTTCCCAAAACTGCATTAATTAACACACCGGTCACCTCACGTAGTTCATTCCATGTGTGTGAGACAGAACATTCAAGTTCTCTCCTAGCAAATTTCAGTTATACAATACACATTCTTAACTATAGTCCTCATGTTATACATCAGGTCCAGGCCTTATTCATCTTATAACCGAAATGTGTACCCCCCAACTAACCTCTCCCCATTTCAACCCATCTCCCAGCCCCTGGCAAACATCCTCCTCCTTTCTGTTTCTATTAGTTTGATTTTTGAGGAGGTGTGGGGGGGACACCCACATAGAAGTGATACCTTGTAGTATTTGTCTTTCTCAGTCTGGTTTGTTTCACTTAGCATAATGCCCTCCAGGTTCATCTGTGTTGTCACAAATGACAGGATTCCCTTCTTTTTAAATGACTGAATTATATCTATGTATGGTATATACATAATACCACATTTTCTTTATTTATTCATCCATCAGTGGATACTGAAGTTTCTCCCATACCATGGCTATTGTGACTCACACTGCAATGAACATGGGAATACAGATAGCTCTTTGAGATAATTATTTCATTTGCTTTGAATAAGTACCCAGAAATGGGACTGGTGGATTATATGATAGCACTATTTTTTATTTCTTGGGGAACCTCCATACTGTTTTCTGCAGTGGCTGCCTCAGTCTACATTCACACCAGTAGGCACAAGCATCCCCTATTCTTCACATCCTCACCAACACTGACTGTCTCCTATCTTTTTGATGAGAGATATCCTACCAGGTGTGAGGGGATATCTCATTCTAGTTTTGATTTGCATTTCCCAGGTGATTAGTGACATTGAGCACCTTTTCATGTACCTTGTGGCCATTTGTATGTCTTCTTGAGAGAAACATCTCTTCAGGTCCTTTGCTCATTCTTAAATTGGGTTATTTGGGCCTTTTGGTATTTTGTATGAGTTCCTTGAGTATTTTAGATATTAACTCCTCATCAGATATGTGGTTTGCAAATATTTTCTCCCATCCCGTGGGTTTCCATTTTGTTGATCGTTTCCTTTGCTGTGCAGAAGCTTTTTTAGTTTGATGCAGTTCCATTTGTTTGCTTTTGCTTCTGTTGCCTTTGTTTTTGGTGTCAAATCCAAAAAAATCATTGCCAAGACTACTATCAAGAAGCTTGCCCCTTATATATTCTCCTAGGAGTCTTATGGCCTCGGGTCTTATGTTCATGTATTTAGCCTATTTCGAGTTGATTTCCTGTATGGTGTAAAACAGGGCTCCAGTTTCATTCTTCTGCATGTGGCTGTCCAGTTTACCAGCACCATTTATCAAAGAGACTATCCTTTCTTTACTGTGCATTCTTGGTGGCTTTATCCAAAATTAATTCTATCCTTTCTCCACTGTGTATTCTTGGTACTTATGTTGACGATTAATTGATCACATATGCATGCATTTATTTATGGGTTCTCTATTCTGTTCTGTTGGACCATGTGTCTGTTTTTATGCTAAGACCATACTGTTTTGATTACTATAGTTTTGTAATATAGTTTGAAACCAGCAAGTGTGATGCCTCAAGGTTTGTTCTTTCTCAATATTGCTCTGGCAGTCTATCTCTCAGGTGGTGGTGAGAGTCTGTGATCAGTGCAACTGGAGGTAGACCATGTGATTGAAATGAGTGCTCCTGGGGAGCTGGACTTCAGCCATGGCCTCACGGGTACTGTATTTTTCTGTTTTAGATCCATATGCACATGTCTCCTTCCTCCATCGAAGCAAAACCACTGAGATCATCCACTCGACCCTGAATCCCACATGGGACCAGACAATTATATTTGATGAAATCGAAATCTATGGGGAACCCCAGACAGTTCTACAGAACCCACCCAAAGTTATCATCGAACTTTTTGACAATGACCAAGTGGTAGATAATTTAGAATTTCTAAGATGGCTTGGGGAATGATGGAGGTTTAGAGGGATATTTGTTGGGGAATTTAAGGATTGCTTGTTTCTCTAGGGCAAAGATGAATTTTTAGGACAAAGCATGTGCTCTCCTCTGCTAAAACTAAACTCAGAAATGGATGTCACACCCAAACTTCTCTGGCACCCTGTAATGAATGGGGACAAAGCCTGTGGGGATGTCCTTGTAACTGCAGAGCTGAATCTAAGGCACAAGGTACTTGCTGAGTCCTCATGTATATGTTCTTTCCTGGTAGCTGTTAAAAAAACTTGCTAATAATAATAATAAAAAAAACTTGCTAATAATGCGAGACACCACTTCCTAGAACTAAGGAGAAACGTTGATGTCTCCATGTTTGTTTTACAGGATGGTTCCAATCTTCCCATCCTTCCCTCACAAAGGGCACCAAATCTATACATGGTCCCACAAGGGATCAGGCCTGTGGTCCAACTCACTGCTATTGAGGTATGCAGCTCCCTAAGTTTTATTGATCAAGTCAGATGACATAGCTACAGAACTGTACTCTCTCACAGGAAATGGATCTTGCTACATATTCGCTTGCTGTCTCCAATAAGAGAATTTGTCCAAAACTTTGAAATATTCATGGAAACAGAAGGCTTGTTGAAAAAAAAAAAACAGGTCAATTCCAGCATTACTGAGGAAATCTCGAGTTCTTATTTACTAGGAGCTAGGAGACTGCTGGATTTCTCATGTCAACTGGAGAAAAGGAAGAGGGAAAGCAGACAGAGCAGTGTGCACATGTGTGTGTGTGTGCACGCATATGGGTGTGTGTGTGTGTGTGTGTGTGTGTGTGTGTGTGTGTGCAGAGAGCAGGGGACCCAAAAGGGGGCCAAGGAGGGAAGAAGGATGGGAGCAACAGGAAATGGTGACATGGCAGACAGGCTGATGGAGCTAACTGGTAGCTTCATGGACAGCATCTGGTCCACTCTTAAGGTCTCCCCTGGTCCAGTCAAGTGGCTGTTACCTTGGGATTTCCCTTCTCAGGCTGTCTTAGTAACAGTTCACAAAGACCAAAGCAGACGGCTGAAAACAACAGCTTTCATTTTTGAATGCTTACATATCAGACACTGTGTTAAGGAGTTTACACTTGATCCTCAGAATGACCCTGTAAGTGGATAGTAGTGTTGGTCGTGCTTGCAGACAAGACCTAGAGAGAGTCCTAACTTGCCAGGGTTCACAGTCAGGATTCGATTCCTGCACTCTCCACTGCTCTGCCTTTTAGCATCTCAGGCAGAAGAAAAGGGGCAAAAGTGCTTTCTCTGCATGACCTACAGGCTTTCTAGGATAATAGTCCTGGAAATTTTAGGCAAATCTGCCTATAATCTGAAAAAGTGTGCCAGTTACTAAGGAAGAAATTTTTCCTTTTCAATATTATTTGTAACGTGCTGAGTTTTCCTCCTCTTTCTTTATATTGTTTTTCTTAGATTCTAGCTTGGGGCTTAAGAAATATGAAAAACCACCAGATGGCTTCTATCACCTCTCCCAGCCTCATTGTGGAGTGTGGAGGGGAAAGGGTAGAATCAGTGGTGATCAAAAACCTGAAGAAGACACCCAACTTCCCAAGTTCTGTTCTCTTCATGAAAGTGGTACAGTATCAAGACTGTAATAGTTCATGTGTGTTGAGT